TCGATTGTAGAGATCAAGTTTACATATTCGATTTCACCTCCTATGTTGTGACACAATCATCGTCGGTGAAGGGACCAACGCCGGAAAAATGAAGGGATTGGCGGCTGCAGGTGGAGGGTCGTCGGTGAAGAAGGTGTTTACCAGGATCGAAAAAGGAAGAACACAAAACCCTATGATGAAGGATTTATGGCTTGGGTGAAAGTCGGCGTTTTTATGGTGATGATGATGAAACAAATGATGGTTTTTTTAAGAGTTTATAAACTAATTATCTTGATTAAATGCTATTAAAGGGAAATTGACCCATTATTTTAGGGATTATAATTTTGGAATATAATACATACATAATGACTAAACTAACCTTCATTATTTAATTAATAATTTCTTTTTTCCTAAATTCTGATTGGTCAATTTATGCACACAATATTTGCTAGAAACATTTGAACCTATCTCTATCTCTATCTCTATCTCTATCTCTCTCTCTCTCTCTCTCTCTCTCTATATATATATATATATATATATATATATATATATATATATATATATATATAGGGCTAGTTTAATATGTTTCTTACATTTATTGTGTGCTAGAATACACCAATAGGAACTTAGTAAAATTAAATAATTATTTAATTAAATAAAGATAGATATTAAATGATTTCCATAATTGTATGTATATTAAATGGTATCCATAATTATAATTGTCTTTTTATGGAAACTAATTAAATTTGTCATTAATGTCAGCAATAACATTCTTTCAGAATGAATTCGCATCTAGGTTTTTATGTATGGGTTCGTTTTTTGTTTCACTACTCACTCACTTAAAATACAATAAAGTTGCATAGAATATGAAGAACAAGAGTGTATTCTACTAGAATACACTCTCATTCTGCTAAAATATACTCTCATTCTTCTAGATACGAATTCATTCTGAAAGAATATTATTACTGACATTAATGATGAATTTAATTAGTTTCCATAAAAAGGAATTATAATTATGGATATCATTTAATATTTATATAATTTTTACTAAATTCTTATTGGTGCATTCTAGCACACAATAGATGTGAGAAACATTTAAACCTACCTATATATATATATATATATATATATATATATATATATATATATATATATACACTTATAAAACTATATTTGGTTCCCATATCAAATATATTCCCAACATATATTCCAGGCATTAAGCATTTACTTCACATGTATACTCTTTGACATATATTTAATACTTTAAGTAATACTTATATTAAAATCATGTTCATGAAAGGGACTATGCACCCACTTGATAAAGTGATGACTCGACATTCGGATTGCGCTTCGCTCTAGCACTTAGATTTTCCTTTGGTGTGACAGAGATTCCCGAGACAAAAGTCTGTAAATTGCATTGACGGAGCTTCTACTCGAAGGCTACTACTTTTCGGTCACTCAGGGCTCATAGGGCTTCGCCGACATACAAAGAACTAAGGTAAAATGGCTATAAGTCGAAGAATATCGAGAGAGAAAGCTTGTAAGGGTGAGATATGAGAGGCTTATACAGATGTGGGTATTTATAGCCGAAAAAAGATATGTGTGTCGTGTCACGCAAATGGTTAGGGTGCTGACGTGCCCTTCTCTTAGTGGTGCCACGTTTCAAGCATCTGGTGGAGTGTTAGTGCGCGCCGCGCATCTTGTCTGTGCATGCGACTGCGTGTAAATTTTTCTGTTTTCATAAATAATTCATAACCTGTTTATACGAGCTCCTTTTTTGATGGATTTTATATTCACGCGTAACTGTTGATGAGATCTATAACTTTCATTTGGACTCCGTTGACTAATTTTAAATTTATTTTTCAAGTTATATTTTTCACAGACTTAGACTGTTAAAGTCCATTAAAAATTCACATCTCTCTCGTCCAACATCTGTTCTTGACAGTCTTTATATCGACGGATAGGTATTGACAAGATCTTTAACAATCATTTAAATTGTTTTTCCTATTTCAGTTTCTGAGCCGTATACTGCAGCGCTGAAATATTGAAAAAATCACGACTTCCTCTCACGAAGTCAGATTTAGGCTTTCTTTATATACATGCTCTTGGTTTCATGGATTCAATGACTTTCGTTTAGATCACTTGGGCTGATTAGTAATCTATCAGAAATTTAGTTTTTACGATATGTAGAGCCGTGCCGGTTTAATTGCGAAACTTCGAAAAAGTATAATTTCTTCATACGAAGTCGGATTTCAGCGTTCTTTATATATACGAAATCCTTTTCACATATACTATAACTTTGGTTAAGATTATTTATCCTAAATAGCATTTTATCAAAAAGTCACTCTTAACGTTTATTATATCTTAATTAAGTAGCCCGAATCTACTGGTGTTACAAAGTCGTATTCTCCAAAAAGAGACATTGATGGTATGTAATGAAACCCCTCCTTAACCTGAATCGGGTTATCAACCCAAAATCCGTCAATTATGAGACCACGAATAGCAATTGGACGTTTCTTGCGATCAAGAACCCCATGGAAATATCCCGAGTTCTCGTCACCTTCCATGCCCCACTGAATCTTCACCTTCTAAGCAAGATACACCTAAGAAGAATGATGCAAATTTGACATATCCTTCAATAAGGAAACTCTCTGCTCTCTCAAAGTAGCCGACCCGTGATCTCCTATCAAACAACTATCGATAGACTCAATTAACTATTGAAGGTTTCTCCTCTTATTAATTAGCAGATCGCAAATATTAGCATCCCACACCCTAAGATTGAATTTAAGAAGATGAAGTTTCTTCTTGAAAATTACCCATGGATTATCCGAAACTTCCCCCGAAAAATCACTCGACCAAGTATCCCGCACAACAACATCAAAGCCTCCCATATCAAACCAAGAGTGGAAAACAAGAAATAGAGTAGGACCATAATCAATCAACATGATGCTCCAACAAAAGAATAAGACGATGTTCCGAGATATTTTTTTCGAAGGCAAAACTTGAAAGATGTGGAAAAGAAAGCAAAGAAACCATTAGTGACAAAGAATCTATCAAGTTTGGTAAATTTTAACAGAGTTTACTTTGGTTCAATGTATAATAAGATCCATATCTCTTGTTTATTTTCTTTACTATAAAAAACTAGAGTTTATTAACTCAAATATATTTTATATATACATCATAACTGATTAATTTGATAAAGTTGGTTACATGTATTTAAAATATCATTTATAACTATATATGCATTAGTCAAAACAATATAAAGTCAAAAATTATAAAATATTTGTCAACAAATATAAAATCCGTATAATATCCAAAAACAAAATAATACTAAATACATTATTATTATTATTTTACGACCTATCCAAACTTTGTAATTGATAGCTAACATTGTAAAATATACATAGCCAATTATTGTCGAAGATACGAGTGTTACACCTCTGCAAGGCAAATAAAAAAAAACGATGAACCAATCCCTAAATTTCCGGTGAGTTTTTGAGAAACATTAACCGATATCCGATATGACAACATCATAGATCTCAAAAGGAAATTGATTCAGAAACATTAACTTGGATTCAATCTGTGATTTCAGAAACATTAAATCTAGATTTAGTAATTAATTCAAGAAACATTAAATATGCATCTTTGATTTCAAGAGCATTAACCCAAATACATCTTCATATGGTGGCGTGGCAGGTAGGAGGCAACAATGATGACGAAGGTGAAGAATCATAAAATCTCATGGCTTTCTCTCAAGCTTTTCTCCATTTTTTCCTTAGCATCTCTACCTCATAGGATGACTTGTGATTACGATGGTGAAGAAAAGCAGGTGGGATCGAGACAAGATTATGATGATGAAGTTGTTTGAAAATGTGTCATGTGGGAGGCGAAATGACGATTGTGAGGAAGGGCGGGCCATCGTTGGTAAGAAGGGAGGATGAAGATGATGGACATGAGATGGATAATGTCTAATCTAATATTGGGGTAGATGGATCTCACTGCTAGTTTCTATTATATAATGAGTAACATTCAACCACATGTAGTTGTCCCCAAAATAATACACCTATCATTCATTTCAATTAAATAGTTAGGCCTGGAAATCGTGTCGTGTTCGGGTTGGCTGGTCACGGGTTGACAGGTTGGCGGGTCAAAATACACCAACCCGAACACAACCCATTTAACTATACAGGTCACGGGTTGGCGGGTTTGGAACATAAACCCATATATGACCCGTCAACCCACTTATTTATACGGGTTCAGAGGTTGTCGGGTTCGTAGGTCAGATTTGGGTTCGTGGGTCAGATTTGGGTCCGTATGTTTGTGGGTCAGATTCCATAAATAAAATTGATAATTAAAAATGAATAAATTCTTGAAGCAAACATATCTGAATTTTAGAAACTTAAGTCTTACACATCCAAATGAAAATTAAAAAAACATTCATGGAAACATGTTCAATCTAAAACATTAATGCAAACATAGATAAATTCAATCGCAGGCGTCGACGTCGTTCGATAATGATTCAATCGTTCATGCCGTCGTTCTTCGTGAGTTCGTTATGTCGTTCATTACAGAGGGGAGACCGGAAGAGGGCTTATTTGATTTTGTTTGTGAGATACTGAGATTATTTAGGGCAAACGCCAAACGTGTTGCAATGCAAATCAGCAAATATACCCACGGGTCAAATGGTCAATGATATCGAGTATCCTATCTTAGTATAAAATATAAGCTGTATAGTGTATGATACTAAATACCAAGATTCTAAATAACGTAAGGCGTGACTTGGCGGCAATGTCAAGCCTCAAGCTTTCTGAGCCTTGGCGAGTCACGTCGTTTGTAAGGCGTGAGATAAGGTGACAATTTTGTATATAATTAATATTTTTATATGTATTTTCAACTATTATTCATTTTTATACACATATATGAGTTAAGGCGGCGTTTTGGTAAAACTTGGCGGCATGTACAAACCTTGAAGCCATGGCGGAGCCATGACGAGCTTTTTTAGAACCATGCTAAATACATTTAAAAAATATATAATTTTTTTTATTAAAATTCTAAACGGGTTGACGGGTCGTATATTTTTTGAGAAACCCATATATGACCTGTTTAATAAACGAGTTGACAGGTTGGCGGGTTAACAGGTTGAAAAACTCAACCCAAACCCGTTTATTTCATATCGTGTCGCGGATCGTGTCGAGAATTAAGAAGCGTAATCTAATTCCTAACACAATTAAACATCAATGGTTTATAGTTCCTTTATGTTTGAAAAGCTACAAACTTCCACATACATATTTATATACCATTCACTTATGTCATGCTGGCAAGCCTACATCTCGTTCACGTTTCATCTTTCTCATTTGTCGAATTTCTCCATAAAAGTAGGAAACAAAACCCCATAGAGATAAAGTAAGAGCAAGTCCTTTTTCCGCTTGAAATTTCTCATGGAAGAAAAGAACAGCTAAAGATTCCGTCACAGGGAGTAATGTAGCAATTATTATTCCGGATAATAATGAGGAGGCACAAAAAATGACTCCGATTGCTCCTAAAAAGAAGAATTGCCAAAGAAGCGCGTTCACTGCTAGAATCACGTAATATGTTGCTTCTCCTAGGTCAAAATTCCTCGCCTCTCGTGGAATTGCCTAAACAAGAATCAAAACAGTTGTTTATATAGTGTAGGTTCGATACGATTGAAGTGAAAGACAAAAGAATATAATTATTGTATTCTATATATCGGAACCAGGTGCTAAATTATTTTGTTTGTTATGATTGATAAATAAAATAGCTGAATGTTGCTTTTATAAAAAGTAACTTTTATCGAATAAATATATATCACTAAATAAATTATGTATTTACTTTTGTAAAGACGAATTGCCATCAAATAAATATAGTATCCCTTTTTTTTTGAACGGTAAGATATATAGTATCACTAAGTAAATTAGATATCATCGTCGTTTACCAAGTTTAAGAATATTTTTGACAAAAAAAAAAGTTATATATAATTAAATATGATGGAATCTTAAAATAAGATTATAATTAAAAAATAACAAAAGAAAATTGTTTAGAGTTTATAATATTTTTAGAAATACTTTATTTATTTATTTATTAATTTAACCATTGGAACATTACTTGCAATTTGATTCAATTTTAGGTTACCGCAAACAATAACAAGTTTTGATGGTTAATTTGTAAACAAAATAAATCAAGAGTGATATATATATATATATATATATATATATATATATATATATATATATATATATATATATATATATATTCAATGCATAATAATTTTTAATCTCAAATCTTATACGGTATATTTAAAGATTAAGAGGGTGTTTGAAATTTCATTTTGAACCTTGAAAAACAATTTATGATTTATGATGGTGAGAAATAAGTTCTTTAAAAAATATTTACATTAGCTTTGGTGGAAAAAATCAATAAGTCAATAAGTTGTTTTTTAAAGTCTTTGTTTTAACTTATATATATTTTAAGGAGTATTTGACTTTTAAAACTCAAAAAGTTATACTAATAAGTTTTTTGAAAAATTAGAAATCTTAACTTATTGATATTTTTTTTTGAAACACCTTCTAAATTATAATATATTTTTGTTGAAACAACCATTACAATTTGTTTGATTTTTAATATATGATAATCAATAATTATACTTATATTTAATAAAATATAAAAACCGATTAAAATATAAAAATATATTATTATGAAATGTATCCGTCACTTTTTGATAATGGAACTAAATCAAAATTTAATATGAAATATACATCCACAAACTAAGTAATTGGTTAAAACCAATCCATTAATTCATCCATAGATCGATAGAATATGCAAAACAGTCGCGTCCATATGACATAGAAACTCTATTCTTGTAGTAACTCATTAATGAATATTCTTAATTATATAGAATATAGAATACAATATACCACGTTAATACCGATATGCCTACGATTTTAAAAATCCATACAACAAACGTCATATGATCTTTCTTCTCTTTTAGATTTTCATAATGGTTAGCAATATCAACAATGATTTCATAATTGTCTAAAACATATTTATGCAACTAGCAAAAAAATTTCATTTGCAGATCATCTTCATTTTAATCGTGTTTTTGATACACATCAACCGACATGAAGATTTTTCAATCAAATACTTGGTATGTAGATGTATTTCGTATCAAAATTTGATATAATTCCATCATAAAAAACTGACGATACATTTCATAACAATATATTTTTACATTTTAATCGGATTTTATATTTTATTAAATAGAAGTATAATTAAAAAACTGTTTTAATTTATTATCATATATTAAAAATAAAATAAATTGTAATGATTGTGTCAGCAAAAATAAATTATAACTTAATCTTAAAATAGATAAGACTTAGGTTAAAAGTTATTATGCATTGAAAAAAAAATTACTTATATTTTGGCTTAATGACAAAAAGACATCCTTGATATTTGTTTATAATAATAATCATCGAAACCTGTTATTGTTTACAGTAACCTGCAAATTAAGCCAAATTACAACTAACAACAAGTTCCAATGGTTAAATTGCAAAAACAAAAAAAAATAGTAAATAAAAAAAAAAAATTAAGTGATGACATTTTGGTGGAGTAGAACCAAAATATATAGACTTTTTTTTTTTTTTTTTTCATATTTCCCTTTATTGTCCAGCCTTATGTTATTGTACTTTTACCTTTGTTTCTTTTTATTTTAATTTTAAAATCAAATATAATACGAATAATTATATTTGATTGGATTAATTTTTTTTTTCTTAAAATCAATAAATAATCACAAAATTAAACAAATGGTCTTTGTGGAAATACCACTAAGGTTCTTTTGAGGAATTTTTAAAATGGTTGGTTAATTTCAAATTTAAACACGATAGTCATTTCTTACCAACCATAAGGACCCATCATGCACGTTTTAAACTATAACCAACCAAGTAAAAAAAAAAATTTAAAAACTTACATAATATTTTTTGCCTACCACAACAACCATTTGTGTAATTTTGTCATAAATATATAAAAAAAAAAATGGATGGTTGGTTTTACCAATTTACCTTGAAGTCGTGGTTGATGAGCATTCCGACAGTGCAAACAGCAGTTGCAAAGAACGATATAACGATCTGCATCTCCATAACCAAAGAATAAGTAACCTGCTGTTTAACTTTCTTGAAAGTCAACTCAATCGAAGGCAAAATAAACCCATATAAAGCCGAAGCTCCAAGTGTCATAAAAAACCCCTCGTAATACTTCAAACTCGATTCATGAGCAGGTCGATCTGAGCTAGTATGAAGCGCAAGAACCACAGCACCAATCGACAGCAAAAAGATCGCATTAATTGTAAAAGCAGAAAACTTCTGTTTCACCAAAAGAAACGCAAATCCAGCAGTAAACGCCAACTGGGTAGCGATTATAAGAGCAGAAGTAGAAACAGGTAATCGAGAAACACCATAAGCAGCCAAATAATCATCAAAACCTGTTAGAACTCCAAGAACAGCACAAGGGAGGAAGAGTGATGGTTTTAAAGAAAAGAGTTTCGCTTCTTTTCCGTTTCTTGATTTGTATATGAATGAAAGGATTACAGGGATGATCAGAAATGGCCAACCGGCGGTTTGTAGCCAGCTTGATGTCCAAACTCTTTTGCCGCCTTTAACAAAGTAGAGGCGTTGAACCAACGGACCACCGCAGTTTCCGACGCCGAGCATTATGCAGTTCATCGCAAGTAGAGATTTCTTCATCGTTTTGCTCATTTTTTCATCTTGTTCTGCTTGTTGGTTGCTTGTGGTTCGTGTTTCCATCTTCCCCAATCTTAATTGGATTAATTCGCTTCAAATTTATCAGAAAGAAGGTAAATTTTCCATTTATAAAATCGAAATTGTTGCTTATTTCTTAAGTCAAACTCATTATAAGACTCTTCACTATAACCAGTAGCATAATTTGCTGACAAGTTTAACGAAATTGGATCAAATTTGGTCAAAATTCAGTTAAACCCTAAAAGCTATATCAAGGTTAAATCAAACTACAAAGCAGGTTAATACTAGAAATGACACTTACCACTTTCTATTGCAGGAATCGAAAAGAAATTGTCCACAAATCGCCACTATTTCATCTTAGGTTTGAAAGATTTGGGGGAAGAAAGTAATGGTGGGATAAGGGAAATATGGATAGACGAACATGTGATTTTAGGGCAGATATATAGGGATAAAAAGTGATGTATAAATCGGGAAGACACTACATTTGGAACGCTTTAGACACAGTGTGACATATTGATCATGGTTCCCGCCAATAATTTCATGGCACCTTTATACCCATCAACAATTTCATGACATCTATTTTCAATATATTATTTTAAGGCACAATTATTCTATTGGCCCTTGTGGTTATCAAATGTAACATATTGAGGACAACATTTGAAGCCTCTAAATGCTTGGTTTTTCTAGAATTTATTTTCATTGTTTGTTTGATTTTTAGACCATACAAAAGGATATTTTTGTCCTTTTCATTTTGTTATACATTTTTTATATATTGTTTAATTTTTGACTAAAAAAGACAAAAAAAAAATCATATATATCTCTCTCCTTTCACCATTCATCTAGTTTTGTTCTCTATAAACACACATATACAAACTTATGAACCACATACAGACAGAGTCATGAACAAACACTAACATACATAGTCATGAATACACGTACCGTCTAGCACAAGTGTCTACTACCACAATATGCTACCAGTTGCTCTAAACTTCTAACACACATTAACAAAGATCACCAATCAAAGTTAATAAACGTCTACCACAACTTTCTACTACAACAATATGCTACCGGTTGCTCTAAAGTTCTAACACACATAAACAAAGATCATCAATAAAAGTTAATTTATTAAACTCAAATTTCTTTAATACAAAGTTCTTAAACCCTAAATAAACATAAACCCAAAATCATAATCAAATTTCTTTGACCATAAACAAATAATAACCCAAAATCTAATATCAATCAAGTAAAATTTTTAAACAATCCATATACCCAAACACAATTATCCAATTCTTGATGAACCATTTACTGATTCAAAGGAAAATTTTTTATCTTCATTTCAATGTCGAATATACATGAAATAAATTAAACCATATTTCCATGATAATCTTCCCCACCCGCAATACATCCGTAAGGTTGGCATCAACGAAAATGTACTTTGAAAAATCACTTACCAGAATGTAAGGAGGAATCAATCAGCTTTCTCGACGAACACATGCTCTCAAAAGGGGGGGAAAACATCTTTAGTGACAAGGGTGTCTTAGGTCTTGGAGTTTTGTGTAAGTTGTGTCCGAGTCTCTTGCGAAAGCTTACATGTAATATATTAGTCTTCATTGTAATGTTACAGATGTTTGTTAGTTTCAGAATGTATACACCTTAGGTTTCGAAATGACATTTGCTTAATTGTTGTACAGTCTGTCACTGCTTATGTGTCATAACCTTAATGGTTTTTATCTAAGCGACTTCCTTTTTGTCAACCTATAAATAGGGATGTTAGTTAGAAGGTGTAGTAAGTCTTTTGTTAGCTCTTACCTAGTGTAATCAAGCTTCTTACTCTAAATCAAAACATAAAATTATTACCTTCTCATTTTGTCATTTCTTACATTCATTCAAGATAATCATGATTTCATACATTTTGAACTAGTTAATCGATGCTATAAGTTGATATCAGAGTAGGAAATCTTTGAGTTTAATTCAAATCAGTGAATTCTCTTGTGTTTTCAAGTTCTTCGTTCGTTATATTTGATTTTTCCAGACCTCTTCCGCACTTTGTTCGTCATCTTTAATTTGAAATCTCGTTTTGATTTGAATTTCGTATTTTACTCATTGATTTAATCTACTATTCAAATTTTATGAAATCATGGGAAAGACGATTCTCATATCATTGCATTCAAATTGTCGAGCAACATTGGTTCGAATACCATAGTTCCTACTCTTTTTCCTGATAATTATGAAGTATGAGTACTTCATATGGAGGATTACATTACTGGTATTGAGAAGCATGGTTCTTATATTTTCTAATCAATAACTGAAGGTTTACATAGTTTCACAAAGACGAAGGAACATGTTTATTCCCTCGCAAATTATGAAAATCTCCGGGAAAAGTATACTGACATGACCAATGAAGAGGAAGGGAAACTTGAAAATGACTTTAAAGAGAAAAACTAAATTTGTTTTACTCTTGCTCCGAATACATTCAGATTAGTGAGTTCATGTAAAACTGCTAATGATATAGGGAAGCGTTTGAAAGAGTTGTATTTTGGTGATGATGATCAACTTCATTCTGTTCAAACTTTGTTACTTTCGGAGTTTGGTTCATTTAAACAAAAGACTAGCGAAAGTATTGATCAAGTCTTTAAAAGATATAATCATATGTTGAGTCAGCTTATGAAGTATGATTTGGATTGAAAGGATATACAAAAGAAGGTAGCATTCTTATAGGGACTCCGCTATGAATGGAAGTTGATTGTTTCAATGGTGAAAGCTCACGAACAATTCAAGTCTTACTCGTCTTCAAAACTGATTAGAACTTTTAAATCGCATGAAGATGAAGTGACTGAGGGTTGATTACTGATGCTATTTCGTTGGCCTTGGTTACGAAAGAAGTAATCTAAAAAAAAATCATAAGAGAGAGTAGTAGCAAATTTCGATTCCGACGCAACAAATGATGAATGGACAAGTGAACAGAAGGCGTTGATGGTAAGAAATCCTAAAAGTTCTATAAAAAGTCTTCTAAGTTTTCTTAGAGAAATGGAGGTAATTCAAGGTTTGAAGGTGGGAGTTTTGGAAACTACAAAGGTATCAACTCCAATTCGGATATGAACAAAAAAGGTGATGGCTTTAAGAATTACCAACAAGTTGAAGATGAAAAGAAAGAGAAGAAACTTCTAGGAGATTCGGGGTATGATTGTAATTTTTACAACAACAAAAATCATTTGAAAAAAGATTGCATTCTAAAGAAGAAGAAGAGTGAGAAGAAAAAGAAAATGAAAGGTGAAACTTATTATGAAAAGAAGATCAAGGATATTTGGAAGATGAAGATACAAGGAAAGGATCTAATTGTTGAAGAAGATGACAATGATGGAGGAAACATAGAAGTTTGGTCGAGTGACTCCAAAGATGAGGAAGTCTGAAGGCCAACATATGGATCTTTATTCGTTTATGATGTATGTGTATTTAAAAGATAGAACACATGTGTAATGGTGAAACGAACAAAATTTTCTAGTATACACTACAATTCCAAAGGTGGATGAGATTCATATTAAAACTTTCATGATACTTGTTTGTATGCAAAGAGTGCAAATGAGCACGTTGAATCATGTGAGAAGGTGATAGACAAGGTACATTGTATTCTCAAATCTTTAAATATTTCTGCTTTTTGTTATGATCATGAATTGAATGAATTAAGAGATACTATTTTAGGGTTAAGTGAAAGTATAAGATGGAACGGGAGAAACGTGACTCATCTTGATTGTTTTGGTCGAAAAATGAACAATCAAAAATCAACCAAATTGTATGAGAGGATGTGATGTTCATGGTAGAATGAATATGAAATGATGATCAAACTGACACGAGTGATTTACAAGGAAAGCCCTTGATCCTTGTTAGGATCTCCAACATAAAACCTTGGAAGGTGATAATGATCACCTGCGTTGATAGTTTTATTGATTGAAAATGATGATTACTGTAACATCCATGAAAATCATGCCAAATTTAAACTTTTTAAAACATTTCAAAACCAATGATTATTACAAAACTTATTTTCAAAATAGTATAATGTCAAAGTATCCCAAAATCAAATCATGAAAACATAAGGAGGTGTACGCTCATGCCTTCGCCTTCCCGCGATCATCAGAAGTACCTGAAACAAAATCAGCAACTGTAAGCCCGAAACTTAGTGAGTTCCCCCAAAATACCAACGTCATACAATCATAATCATATCATATAAACAAACAACATGCATAATGAGCCTTCAATCCGACTGGACCGCGTCGCAAGGCCTTCAACCTATCTGGACCGCTCCCGAGCCTTCGGCACGTCTGGACCGCCTCACAGGGCCTACAGCCTATCCGGACCGCTCATCGGGCCTTCGGCCTGAATGGACCGCCTCGCAGGGCCTTCAATCTATCTGGATCGCCTTGGGTATGTTGGCCTTCAGCACAAAGCAGGACCGCCTCAACCCAACCCCCAATCAAACAATCATGTGCACATAAATATCATACGCTAGCATATATAACAGTCAACCCGATCTAACAGATCACTAATCATAGCAACATCCTATAACCAGGATACATACCTAACCGGTTATTAACATAGAATTATCTTATATACCAGGATACCGACCTAACCAGGTCACTAAGCATATCACCATCCTAACTACCAGGATGTAAATCAATAAGCATATCAAGCAGTAACCCAGATACAAATCCGAAAAAGGGCCGACATTGGTGCCTTAGACCCTGTTGATATAGTGAGAAGAACTCACATCACAAGTAGCTCGGAGTGATAAAGTCAAACTTCACCAAATACAGCTCCAAGTCCCACACCTATATCCACCAATGATCCAATTTCATAAATTCCCAAATTACCAAAATACCCCCAGAAGTCAAACTGGTCAACCCTTGGTCAAAGTCAAAGTCAACGGGTCAAGGTCAACAGTCCGTGTTGACCCAACTCGTCGAGTGCAGCTAGCAACTCGTCGAGTTCCTTAAGAACTTAGGAAATCATAAAACCCTAATTGACTCGTCGAGTTTCTAGACAACTCACCGAGTCCATGCGGGGTCCAAATGTCGGGAAATCCCTAAGTAACTCTTCGAGTCCTCTTACTGACTCGCCAAGTTCATGTAGGACCAATACAGGAAATCTTCAACCGACTCGTCGAGTCCCTTCAGTCCATTCCTTATCCAGACGTTTTTAAGCTACCCTAAAGCTCCATATTGCAGATCTAACCTCCTAGGGCATGGTTTCCATGTAAAGTTGCAAACTTTATGTGACATCCCCATTTTCACGGCCAGAAAAGACCGATTTTGTTTATGCTTTAAAAAATCAGAGTACCTCTTTTAATAAAAATGTTGCGGAAATTGTTCCCAGTAAAACATGATAAATACGTTATCAAAGCATTTCCGAAGAAAAGTATTTTTATTCATTTTAAAACATTTGGGATGTCATCGTCAATACAAAAACATAAGCATAAACAGAACTTGCATTCATTATCACTAGTGATTTATATCTCCTCAATCTCTCAGTGTAATGTAACTTCATATCGACACCTGTGATATAAATAAACTGAGTGGGTCAGGTTGGGAAACCTGGTGAGTACACAGGGTTTTCAACCCACAATAATATAATTATTATGTTTAATCATCAAACAGTTAACCCAATTACCCATCCCCATTATCTTCTTTATTCTTAAGGATCTACCCTAAGAATCAGCTATTTCTCATTCATTCATTCCTAAGGATCATCCTAAGGAATCGGCATGAAGTCCATCGTTGCCATGGTTTACACAACGGACACTAAGTTTGCATAGTCTCCAGAGTTTAGGCATCAAGTCCGCATGATCACCAAGGTTTAGGCATCAAGTCTGCATGATCACCAAGGTTTAGGCATCAAGTCTGCATGATCACCAGGGTTTAGGCATCAAGTCTGCATGATCACCAAGGTTTAGAGTACACCGGGTGAACACATCGTTCACAACACTTACAGGTTGCGATCCTGCTAGTGTTCCACTGGACTATCTAGAATAGTCCGTGGTTGTCATCCACACTCTGCTGAATGACAGGGCCATCGTTTGGGAAAAGGCTTCTCACATCGTCCACCCCTCACCCTCACCTCGTGGTCTATAACACCTCTCAACTCATCATCCAACTCATATTACATCTACCCATGTTTTACCCCAACATTATCGTAGATATAAAATACATATACAGTTTAAATCATTTAAAACATGTATAAAATCGTTCATCCAGCATAGACAGCAAGTATTCAGATAATAAGCACACATAGCACGTAATTTATATAAAATACTTCATATCTATGTGTAAGATGAAAGTAACTATGCACTCACTTGGTAAGGTGGTGAGTCGGCACTCGGACAACACTTCGTTACTCTTAAAACAATTTCCCTCGGACAAAACCTAGTATCATTACCACTAGAGTTTAGTCTAACGTTAACCGCGACTAATTAATAGTCTAGATATTATTACTATTATATAAGC